GAGACCCGGGTTCGGTTCCCGCTAAGGACACGTACTTCGGTTGCAGTTTGTCCCCGGCCCTGGTTGGTCGTGCAGGTGGCAGCCACTCGATGTGTCCCTTCATGTCGATGTTTCTCTCTCTCTCTCTCCCTTCCTCTCTCTCCCTCCCACTCTATCTGTACAAAAAAAATGGAAAAATATCCTCGGGTGAGGATAAAAAAAAAAAAATGTATTTTATTTATTTATTTTAAAATATGTTTTTTAATTGGTTTTAGAGAGAGAGGAAGGGAGAGGGAGAGAAAGAGAGAAACACTGATGAGAGAGAAACATCAGCAGTGACTGGCTCCTGTATACCCCCTCTGGGGATTGAGCCCACAACCTGGGTATGTGACCTGACTGGGAATATGGTGACCTCTTGGTACGTGGAACAAAGCTCAATCCACTGAGCCACACTGGCTGGGCCAAATCAATATAGTTTTGCATAAGGAAGTATGGTGAACAGACTGGAAAAATATTTTTATATGATTTTATAAATTCAGTGTCCTGTGAATGCATTTTATTTTAGTGTTGAACTGCCATGTTGATGGACAAATTAAATGCAGATAGTTTTCCCAAATTTTTACATGGATATGTCCTTACTAAAATCAATCAGTAGAGCTTTTTTGTTAGGTAAAATAAAGGAATAATGAAATGTACATGTTCTCAATGCAAGTTTTGAGGTTTGGGAAAGAAAAGTGTGTTTATATAAAATGTTTCTAAGCCAAAAGCACTGTCACTTTTATTGGAGAAGAAACTTTGTTGTAAGGCAGTGGTTGTAACCAGCTGCACATTCCACTAAAGTCTGTGTTCTCTTATTAAGATATGACAAGGGGCCCTGGCCCGTGGCTCAGTGGTTAGAGCGTGGTCCCGCAGACCAGAGAGACCTGGGTTCAGTTCCCGCTAAGGGCACATACCTCGGTTGTGGTTTTGTCTCTGGCCCCAGTTGTGGTCATGTGGGTAGCAGCCATTCGATGTGTCTCTATTACATCGATACCCCCCCCCCATCTGAAGATAAATACAAAAATATCCTTGGGTGAGGATAAATTTAAAAAAAAGATATGATAAGGGGATAATTGCATACATTTGATTAAGTGCTTCATAGTTTTGTTTTATTTTTTTATAAAAAGTCACTCTTTTGCCCTGGCCGGTTTGGCTCAGCAGTTAGAGCGTTGGCCTGCGGTCCGGAGAGACCCGGGTTCAGTTCCCGCTAAGGGCACGTACCTCGGTTGCAGTTTGTCCCCGGCCCTGGTTGGTCGTGTGGGTGGCAACCACTCGATGTGTCCCTTTCAGGTCGATGTTTCTCTCTCTGTCCCTTCCTCTCTCTCCCTCCCACGCTATCTGAATAAAAGATGGAAGGAATATCCCCAGGTGAAGAATAAAAAAAAAAGTAAATTAATTAATTAAAACTACCTTGAAAATTAAAAAAAAAAGTCACACTCTTGTTTTCTTTTGCCTTTATATTTTGACCATGCAAAAAGTTGACATTATCTAAAAGAGAAAACCTTTTAAAAATAGAAATACAAATTAACCAGTTTAGAACGAGTATGATGTTTGACATGTAGTATTATTTTGTAACTAATGTATTTTTATAGTTTATGTGAAAGAAAAAAAGCCACTTTTTAGAATTATATGTATTTCAAAGCCCAGAAAACCTTGTACAAATGTATAACATTTAAATAAACTTTGCAATATACATTTCCAATAACAGTTTTAGAAGCAAAATAAAGCTTCTAAAAGAAGAGGTAATAAGGTTTTGTATTAAATATAGTACAGTAACAAAGGAAAAAGCATTTGGATATTCTTAAATAAGCTTAGTTTTCTACGCGTTAGTTTTTATTTTAATTTCCGGCACAGTTTATCTTAATAGAATCAAAATACTTAGTTTGAATTTAAACTAGCATTTCTTTATAATTTTTTACCCTCTTCTGGTACTGTAGCTGATACTCTTAATCTCAAGTTTAATAGATAAATTCTCTTTATTTGTTATATGTGACTATGTGTAATAGATAAGAAAAAGTGTTTACTAATCAGTTTAGTCCATTAACTCAAGTACCGTGTACCAAGTGTAGTCCTAGATGTGAGTGGCTTTATATAATTCATCTGTATCCATTGTTTTACCTAAAGGATAGCATTCTACTTATTTGTGTATATTCAACTTATTTTGTGTCTCTCTCGGTACAGCAGTATGTACATATAGGTATATAATGAATGTTGAAATGTAATAGTTTCACCTTGTTTTCTGCACATTTTAGTTTTGTAAATATAAGCAAGAACCTGCAGAGATAAAGTCTAAAGTGAAGATAAACTTACTCAGTGTTTTAACTTTTGATAGACTTCACATTCTTAGTTGAAAATTGCCTGCTAAGTATAAATTACAGGGTTGCATGAGGGATCAATAAAGTAGTAATTAGATTTGGGTCTCCGGTGAATTTAGCAGATTCTCTTGCTTGTGTTTATGATGAGTTCTTGTTTTGTATTTTTACTTTGTTACAAAACGAATGCTGTAAGAAATGTTTCATGAATTAGAATTTACATGCATGTTAAAATTCTCTAGCTACTTAATTCTTCTAAAAATCATTAAATGGTAATTTAAAAGTTTTATTGACTATGAAATAAATTCAAACTCAGGTGTTTCATTCAGTGTTATAAATTGTATGTTCTTATATTTGTCTGTATAGTATTTGGTTTGGTTATTTGGGCTTCAGAGACACCTATATTTTATAGATCTTTAGTCTCATGGTATGTTTCACACATCCAAAAAATAGCAGATTCTGGGGCAAATAAATCTGGGGAACAAAGCAAGATCCATTTTTCTCTTGGAGATTTATAATGTACATTCATAGCCTGAGGCTCTATGTAGTCCTGCTGAAAAGAGACAATTTTAACTTTATCTTTATTCTAAAGCCATGACCAGAGAATACTTTTGACTATGGAACATTTATTATAGCTTGAAGAACTAGTAATTGTGTAGGGAACATATGTTAGAGAAGCTTTAATCCAGTCTATTTCTCTAAGTGATTTCCTTAAAATATCTTTTTGTGTACTGTTTTCCATTAATACAATTTTAGAGTATCCATATTTGTAAATAATTAAGAGGTACAGGAAAGTGCATTTTTACATAGTCCTCTTGTTATTACTGAAGGCATACAGAAAATGAACTATATTTTTAATTGCTTCAGGAGAGGAAAGAAAATGGAAATGGATTATTTTACATTGCATAGATCTAGTTTCAAATACAAAAAGAAGTTTTATTTAAGGGCGATGGACAGAGAGTTTTAAAAAACTTCTTATTTATTGATTTGAGGGAGAAAGAGAGAGAAACATTAATTTGTTGTTCCGCTCATTCATGCATTCATTGGTTCAGAGGTTCTCAACCTGTGGGTCATGACCCCTTGGGGGTCGAACGACCCTTTCACAGGAGTCACCTAAGACATAACAGTAGGAAAATTACAGTTATGAAGTAGCAATGAAAATTTTATGGTTCGGGGTCCCCACAACACGAGGAACTGTATTAAAGGGTCGTGGCATTAGGAAGGTTGAGAACCACTGCATTGGTTGATTCTTTTTTTAAAAAATGTATTTATTTTTGTTACAGATGTTTCTCCTTTTCCCCCCATTGACACCCTCCTCCCCATTCCACCCCCCTCCCAGCATTATTGTCTATGTCCCTGTTTACCCATACATGCACCCCTGTTCCCTCCTCTGAGGTTTGTCAGTCTGAACTTCTGTGTCTTTGAGTCTGTTTTGTTCATCAGCTAATTTTGTTCGTTATATTCCACAAATAAGTGAGATCATGTGATACTTGTCTTTCTCCGACTGGCTTATTTCACTTAGGATAATACTCTCCAGGTCCCTCCATGTCATCTCAAAGGATAAGAGATCTTTCTTACAAGTGCATAGTATTCCATTGTGTATGTGTAATGCAGCCTTTTTATCCAACTCATTTATTGATGGACACTTGGGCTGTTTCCAGATCTTAGCAATTGTAAATAGTGCCGCTATGAACATGGGGGTACATATATTCTTTCTGATTGGTGTTTCAGGCTTCTTAGGGTATATTCCTAGAAGTGGGATCACCGGGTCAAATGGCAGTTCCATTTTTAATTTTTTGAGGAAACACCATGTTGTTTTCCATAAAGGCTACACCAGTCTGCATTCCCACCAGTAGTGTGCTAGAGTCCCCTTTCCTCCACCCTCGCCAGCACTTGTTTGATGATGCAAAGGAATTTTAAATTCCTTGACAATCGTTTTATTCATTTTTTCCATTCCATTTTTTTCTATAACACAATTTATGTCCATAATTTATATTTCTGACATATTTCAGCAACCTTGATGGTTAGAATAAATGTCCATGTGCATTTATTCTTGAAGAACCAACACACTCATTCACCACTTTGGTAGAAATTGAAAATATTAATGTGTTAGACAAGCTGATATTTTTTGCTCTGTACATTCACAGTTACTCTTGATCCCTTATCTGCATCTCATGGAGAAAATTCTCCCAGTTTTGTGAAGATACATTGTTCTTCAATAATAGTGTCAGCATCTGATACATATTTTTTTTCAAGTCATGGTTTTAGCCAAGTATTAACAAGCCACTTACCTTACATTTTTTCTTGAATTATCCTGTTTATCATTTCATGGTTTAGGGGTGTGCATAGGTGTGTATGTTTGGGTATGTGTGTGTAGATATATATAATTTATTTATATTATGAATTTTTATTTTTTCTTGACGAACTGTTGGACTTACACTGAGATTTCCCCTCAATATGAAGTTTGCTTTTCTAGTATTACTGATATAGTGTTTTAATATGTTTGTAAAAAATATTGGCTAATCTTTATGGGTCTTTGTGGAATATATTATGAAAGGAATATTATGAGGGGTTTAAATCAAATGTATTTAATGCTTCATCCTGTATACTTTTGCTTTTACTCAAATCAATACAGCATTCTTTATTTCTTTCTTTATTTTTTTTTAACAGAGTAATGAAGTTGTCTACTACAATGCAAAGGACGATCTCGATGTGAGTATTAAAAATTTTCCATTAAATTCCAAGGTACACTTAGTTTTCCTGGGATGACTGGTTTTATAGAACACATTGACTTAGCAGGTTTAAAATTTCAGACAATGTTTCATAGCATAAGAAAAGCACCAGTTAGCCACAACAAGGTAATGAGGAATTTCAGTGCTATGTGATCTTTAACAGCTTATTATTGACATCTACCTGAGAAGCTATACCATATGTTTCTCTGCATCTGAACTCACATTGTACCCTGTCCAGACCTCAGTCCATTGCACTGACTTAAATTCTCTGCACTCCATTAGCATTGTTGACAGAGATTGGATCCCATCCTTCTCTGTATCCTGGCTCCTGTCACCACTGTCACTAGACATGTCTACTCTGGCCTGAACTGCATATACCAGAAGAAGCCAGTTATTCCAACTACAGTGTGAATGACATCCTGGAAGCTGAACAGCTGGCCTGACTATTCAATCTTTAAAGCATATTATGTGCTCAATATGCCTTTTTAAATGAATATCTCTAATGTACATGTTCAAATGACTTTAGGACATGGATTATTTTAGCACAAATAAGTTACTTATTGCCACATTTAGACAGATTAGGGAGACATTTTTATCACTTAATTTTAGTGGAAGCATTTACAAAATCATAAAACAAAATTTATACATAAGTTTCAAATTCTCCTGTATTTGATTTATGTCACCAGAAAAAAATATTTATCTATACTTATTTTTTATTCTATATCTTTAGAAGGCCTCCTGTAATTTAGGCATTTTTCTAAGAGCTTGGGGTATATCAGTAAAAAAATTAAATAAATATACTAAAATTATCATTTGTTTTCACATTTTTTGTCTGAATTAAAAATACATATTACCATAATAATACATATTAATTAATATAAGTGAACCTACTGAACTTGTCCTTCTTGTAACCATCTTCCATACAAAGAGTCTCTAATATTACTGTAGGTTATAATTGTGCTTATAAAAAGGATGCATTCTCTTTTTTAGGCCATGAGTTGAACTACAGAAAAATAAATAAAAACCCTATAATGTGCAAAATATCAACTTTGAAATGATGACCCTGGGCCCTGGCTGGTTTGGCTCAGCGGTTAGAGCATCGGCACACGGACAAGGAAGTCCTGGGTTCGGTTCCGCTAAGGGCATGTACCTCGGTTGCAGTTTGTCCCTGGCCCTGGTTGGGTTCGTGTGGGTGGCAACCACTTGATGTGTCTTACGTTGATGTTTCTCTCTCTCTCTTCCTCCCTCTCTCCCTCCCGCTCTATCTGAAGATGAATGCAAAAATGTCCTTGGTTGAGGATAAAAACAAACAAACAAAAACAACAACAACAAAATGATAGCCATCATTTAGAGAAATTATTTTTCTTTTATTTTTTATATATAAAAATTATATATAAATAATAGTCTGAGAACACGTGGCAGAGTATTGTATAGTGAAAAGAGCATCACTAAAGGAATCAGATTTTGTTTTGTGCCCCTGTCCAGCACTAAAATTATAGTCACCCAAAGGATATTTAAACCTATTTCAATGCAAACTGTTTTATTTTTTCATATCCAAGACAAGCTATGGTTAACAAGGTGATCCATAAATTTCATCCCAGTTCTGTATATTCTTGGAATTCTGCTAAAATACTTTGCTGGAATTAGGCTGTTTTCTGTAAACTTTTTGAGAAATTTTAGAGAACTGTATGATTATTTTATACTATATTAAAACATTCTGTGGGAAAGTTCAAAGTTCTTTAGATACAGTAATATTATTGCACTTGTATACCCCAGGCTTTGAATAAAATGAACCATTTTTATGACTAGTATTTGGGTTTGGCTGTTAGAGAGAAACCTAAAGTAAAAGTGGTGAAAACAAGACAGACGTTTATTGGTTTTTCCTGTGTAATTCTTTGTACAAGGTCAAAAATGGCAACAACTCTCCATCATCCAAGCCTGGGGCCCTTCTCTCGTGTTTTCTACTCTCCTCAAAAAAGCTTTTCCATGTTGCGGTTGAAGACTGATGCTTCATTATCCACAATGAAGTTTGCATTCTAGATAACAGGAAAGAGGCAAATGGCAATGGTGGGCATGCTCTTTGCCTTTAAGGGCATGTTCTGGAAATGGTACACGTTACTTCTATCTGCACCATTGTCCGAAACTTAGTGAATTATCTTGTCTCTTTGCAGTAGGAAATGGAGTATAATCCACCCCCACTGGAAAGGCATGTACCCAATAAAAATATAGGGTTCTGGTACTAAAGAAAGAATAAGGAGAATACTACTTGGGAGATAATTAGTTTCTACAAATATCTACAAATTGCTTTTCTTGACATATGAAAATTAATGCCCAAAGTCTACCCAATCTGAGTGGCTTCTATTATTTAAATACAGTCAAATTCTTTAACTTGGAACTGAGGAAAAATTGTCTTTTACTACAAAATAATTATAAAATTAGGTGCTGTATTGAGTATTTTTAGTCTTAATGTATGTTTTGATCACTACGATCACATTGTTTTCTGCAATAGAAATATTTACTATCTTACAATGAAAGGAAGTTAAGACATGCAAGTAAATGTGGCACTTTGATATTCTACTTTAGGATTTTTAGGCTTACAATTTTTTTGAAGACTTGCTTATTTGATGAAGCTGGACTTCAGTGGATGATGAAATTTACTCACCCTCACCAAAAGTTTTGCAATATAGGTGGATTTAATTGCTACCATACTCAAAATGTTATACATTTTGTGCTTGATTATTTTATTTATCAAACGCTCACAAATCATAATGCCATCTCATTGTTCTGATTTGAATGGGCTTATCATCACTGTTCTTTGCGCTGACTTCTGTATACCAATTTAAATGTATAATTTTCTCAGATTCCACCACGCCATATCCATTATTAAAAATTGGTGATTAGAGATTATATAATGCGCTTTTATCATCTCATGCATCAAAAAGAACTAATTGGAGTACTAAATATTGAAGCAATACTATCAATGAATCAGTTTGTCCTCACATATTTGAATGGTGATATAAATATCTGAGATCTAAATAAAGTTTCAATTTTTTTTAATATAGATATTTTTATTGTTAACAGTATTACAGATATCCCACATTTTCCTTCACCCAACCCCTAACCCACCCCTGGCCTTCACCACATTATTGTCTGTGTCCATGGGCTATGCATATAAGTATATAAGTTCTTAGGTTTCTATTTTAAGTATTATATCTAATTAAGGAGACTAAAAGGTTGTAAATCTTGAGCCTGTGGTCATTTGTAACTTTCCCCCAGTGCTGCATTAGTAGAAGCAGATGTGTTTATCCATGACTCCTTCTAGTGGAATAGTGGGCGTTTTCTCTGTTAGTCAACTTTTATGCATCTGTCGTTTCCTTTGCATCTCCATGACCACCATCCGAGTTTAGGCATTGTTCTCAAATATTTATTTAAGAGCTTTTGGAATGCTCTCTTATGCATCTAAAATTTTACCTAGACTTAATAAAACACATTTTAGTATGTAAATATTCCTAAACCTTTTATTTATAGTTCCTTTTCCATTGTCAAGATCTTCAAACAGTTATTATTGCCTTTATTTGGTATTTAAGACCCTGAAGAAACTTTACTAGTTTTTTTCCAGGCCAACATGGCAGTTTCTTCTTGGAGACACAACCAGTCTTTATAAATTATGTTATTGGGTCCTTCCCTTGTGTATACGTTTCTGGAGGGTGCTCTTACATTGCCGTAGCAGCCAACATAGCTTTTATAACAACCAGTACATTGTAATCACTCTAAGGGTTTTTCCAGTAGCAAATCTAGGTTAAAATACAAGTTTCATTTTACACAAATATGAAAGGGTTGAAGAACTGCAGAGTCAGAATTATATATTCCATTTCTGCTCTCTGTATGTAACCTTGTTTTTAAAGAGGCCCTTTCACTTCATCCCGAATTTCAGCCCAGACCTGAGTGAGTCTCTGTAGTATGGAGGATCTGAACTGAAATATACACCCTGATACTGTTGGCCAGAATCGTGCTTACTTCATTCTCTACCCTCAAGCTTACAGATCGGACAGCATCAAGAAAAAACAATGCTTAAAATGAAGTCTGTACCATTTGACTGTTTCCCAGTCCTGAGACTAGATAATCTTAATTCTGAAGAAAGACTAGATTGATCTTTCTTTATTTACAACTAATAAAATAGAAGTAGTCAATGGAGGAATGGATGAAAATTTCAGTAACAGCACAGTAGAAATACTGTATTATTAAAGATACAGAGGAAGCTTTTTTCCTGAAATAGTGTTACTTCAGATACTTCAGGAAAAAGGAAAACAACATTAAATGTATGCTTTGTGTCTCCGAAGCAAAGCCAGTGATCTGTGCCAAATAGATTGAAATAAAATCATCAAAACAAAAACTGCTAAAACTTAATTACTTTGGAAGAACTAACAAATTTGACAATGCAAATTATTCATTGATGGTGCCCAAGGGAAATGGAAAATACTTCCAGAATCTCAAAAAAGCAAAAAAAGAAAAAAGGGGAGAAAAGATAACATATACGGAGGACAAAATACAGAGATGTAAACCATAAGTCATGTGTGACCAAAGGTCAAGCCAAAGCATACAGCTTAGAAATAATATTCCAAGGTTGAATGGAAGAAAGCATTCAAGTCTTCAAAGTAAGGTGTAAGTAATTATAGATTTGAAAGGCCTACAGAGTTTCTTTCAGGCAGATTTTTAAAATATCAGTAACATTTATACCAAAAACTTGCTCAAGGATGTCCAAGAGGAAATTTCTACAAAGCAGCTCGATATTTAGTTTGGCCTAGAATAGTTTCATGCTTAGCTTATGAGTGGACTTTGAAAACAAGTGGCTGAAATTTTCCAGCAAACGTGAAGCTACATATACAGTGAGGCCAAATTCAGCTACAGATAAATTGTGCTATGCTGATACAATATTAAAAACAAAATGAGTCTCAGTGCATTTGGATTGATACATTCTGC